GGTGGTCAGCTCACAGGGTGTATGGACAGGTAGCTGAGCTGAGCAGAGTCTCCCTGCCAGCCCCACCGGAAGGCTTTGGGGGATGAAGGGGGAGAGAGCACCTTTTTTATTTTGATAAGAAGGTTTTATTATTATTATTATTATTTTATTTTTGCATAGAACTGAAGAGTAGGCCAGAAGTCCAGGGGTGGGGGGCAGTGAGAGAACTCACCAGAGACAGAGTGGGGAGCAGAACAGGCAGGTCCGTTGAAATACACTGCTGAGGGGAGCAGCGGGGAGACAGGAGGGGTCTGCTGCGCCCTGTGGGTCAGCTCCCTGGCCGGGGATCAAACTCGTACTGCAGTGGCTGCTGACAGCCTGATAGGCTGAGACTTATCCCCTGTACCACCAGGGAGGCCCAAATAAGCATTATTATTATTATTATTATTATTATTATAAATATTTATAATAAGTATTACTGCAACCTGTGAATACTTGCTAGGAACCCTCCCCTCTTTCATTTTTTAATGTTGACTTAGTTATTTGTATACCTTTATGCATATACAGCTTCATCAAGTGTCTTCAAAAACCTATTTGGAATTTTGATCGCGATTGCTCTGAATGATTGGCCAATTTGGAGAGAACTGACGTGAGGATAATACTAAGATATCCTGTCCAAGGGCATGGTGCTCTCATTTTTTCATATTAGCTTCCTTATCTTTTATTGGCATTTTAAAGTTTTTCCCATCAGGGTCTCAGGATCTTTGATTAAGTTGTTGGGTAACTAAGGTTTTGTTGCTCTTGGGAGTCGCACAATATTTAAAATTAGGTTTTAATTGGTTATTATAGTGTGGGTGAAGCGATATTGATTTTCCTAGGCTGATCATATGTCAGCCGTGATTATCCCTTTGTTGAGAGCCTTCCTGCCTGTTTATTATAAGGGCCAGAAGAATTTGTGAAATAGCCTCGTCAGTTGTGAATACCAGTCATATCATGAATGCAAATCGGTTTCTAATTTTTTCATGTTAATTATCATAGCCGCTGGGGTTGATCAGAAGTAAAGAAGGCGAGGGCTTTGCGCCAGCGCTTAGTTAAAGGAAGCTGACCATTCCTGGAGTGCCTGACCGTTGTGGTGTGATCTAAAAGCAGCTTTCACAACCACTAGGGGGCGTTGTGGCCCCACATCTGTATGAGGAGGGTAACGGCGCGAGCAGACAAAGAATGTGGCCGCCAGGGGGCGCTGTCTTGGGGGCGGTGAGCACCTTTTGCGTGCCAGGGGGGAGCTCCTTTTGCGTGCCAGGCACTGTGCTGTATTTCAGGAATCTAGCCAAACTCCAGGCAAGCGAGATGATAGTCTCAAGGTGCAGGGTAGCCAGGCAATAAAGTATACTACTAAATAATTAGGTTGTAATACGTTCTACGGAGAAAATAAATCAGGATGACAAGATAGTGACTGAGGGGCTGTTTAGATAAGGTGTGCTCTGAGATAACATCTAGATAGGATGGGGGCCTCCCTGGTGGCCTAGGAGTGAAAGCTAAGCACTATCACCCCTGTGGCCTGAATCTGATCCCTGGCCAGGGAGCTGACCCACAGGGCGCGGCAGACCTCTCCTAACCCGGCCGCTGCTCCCCTCAGCAGTGGACTTAGACGATCTGCCTGTTCTGCTCCCCACTCTGTCTCTGGTGATTCCTCTCACCCCCTGCACCTCTGGCCTGTACTCCTGCTCTTCTATGCAAAACTTATAAAATAATAGTAATAATAAATCAGGCAGAGGCGCCTATGGTGTCTGGGGTCTTGGAGGGGAAGGTGGAGTGTAGGTAAGTAAGAACAGAGAGGAGGAGATAAGACCAGGAGGGACTTTGGCTTTTGTCCTGAGGTCAGGGTAGCTGTACAGGGTGTGACGGGCTGGATCTCCAAGGCAGCATAAGTGAAAGAGCAAAGTTAGGTAGGAATGGGTCAGCCTGGACTAGAACATACATTCCTATTTGACTATGTCTGCATAAACAAATAAGGGAGCATACCTATACTTTGGGAGGGAAAAAGAGGGAACTGGCTGGGGGGAGACAAAGATAAGAGTAAGAAAATATCTCTGGCTGATGGGGACAATCTGTGGACCTTGGGGTGTGTCCCAGGCCTGTGACTCAGTGTTCCCAGGGACATCTTGCAGGCCGCTCGGCCCCTCCCTGCAGTACAGTTGATAACAATATCCACATGCTGTGTAGACACTTCTCTACAGCTGCTTCAGTCTCAGACTGCCCTGGAAGGTGGTGCTGTTGTAGACATGTCCATGGGGCGGAGGCGCACGGAGGCTGAGTGACTTGCTCAAGGTGACAGGAAGCAGGACAGAGGGCCTTTGAGTCGAGGCAGGACTTCCCAAGCCCCCCCTACTATCCACTTGGGTAGTAGGATTTTTTTTCTTTTTTTTTAGTATTTATTTATGCATACAAGAATGGGGTTATAGGTCAGAGGTGCGGGGGCAGTGAAAGATTCACCAGAGGCAGGGTGGGGAGCAGAACAGGCAGATAGACTGAAATCCACTGCTGAGGGGAGCAGGGGGGGAGACAGGAGAGGTCTGCTGCGCCCTGTGGGTGAGACCTCCGGCTGGGGATGCTGCAGTGGCTGCTGATAGCTTCATGGCACTGACTTTAACCCCTGCACCACCAGGGAGGCCCCACTTAGTTCTTTTGCAATAGCAAAACTGTAACTGTTCTCAGTTAAGCCGTATTTCACTTAATTTTTTTGCATCTTTATTAATGTCTGGACAGCGTTTGGTTCTCCCCTACAGTGTAGTCACCGGAGTTCTCCCACTCCGTGGCACCTGGGATCCATCATGGGCTCCTGTCCCGTTTTAACCCCTCTCACGTTGCCTTCTAGCCATCTCAGAGGGCTGCGGGCGTCACTAACACCTTAGTATGAAGCAGTGAACCTCTTCTTGCCACTGAAGAACAGCTGTGGCTTGGGGTGGGGCACTACAGTGTGGTCATCACGCCTAGGATTTAAGGCCCAGTTGTGGGGCTTTCCAGCAGGTGACATCACTAACCTCAGCACTAGCTGCGTCCTCATGTAGGAAGCCCCTTTGCTAAATGCAGCAACGTGGCGCTCTGGGCTCTGGAGCCTGGGTTCTCAGCAGACACCGCCTCCCTGCGGTGAGAAGCCGCACCGTGTTCTTCCTGCGGGAAGTGGCACAGGTTCCCTGGCCCCAAGGGGGGTGTTCTGGAGTCGGCCAGGTGCTGGGACGCCATACCTCCCCTCTGTACATTTGTGCAGGGTGAGGGGCCCGGAGGCCCCAGGGCTGACTGCTCAGAACAGCAAGACCCGCTGAAGGGCTGTGCTTCTGGGCACGCCTGTCCTGTCCTCCTTCAGGGGCCCCTTCGCTTCCTGCCACACAGCCCTGATCCTGGTGAGGCTGCGGGTGGCCTGGAGGGGGGCTGGGCCTGGGGCCACCTGCCTTCAGTCAGCTGGGAGGTGTGCTGTCTTGGGGGTGGAGAGAAGGCACCTCCCCTCCGGCTGCCCCAACTCCGAGCACAGCCCCAAGTGCCCTAGCAGCGTCTGGCTGGCACCACCAGGGCCAGACCTGCCGTGTCGGGACAGAAATACTTCCGGGTCTTGCTGAGTGACCACCACCCACTTCTGATCTCGCCTCTCCTAGGAATCCTTCAGGCCTCCCCAGGTCCTGGCATGAAAAGACTAACCAAGGGGCCGCTCTGGCGGCGCTTTCGTGAGTCTCAGCACTATCAAACTATCCGCAGACACTGCAAAATGTGTGACCTGAGTACGACCACTCCTGGCCAGGGAGCTGACCCACAGGGCACAGCAGACCTCTCCTAACCTGCCCGCTGCTCCCCTCAGCAGCGAGTTTCAGTAAATTCACCTGTTCTGCTCCCCACTGTCTCTGGTGAATCCTCTCACCCCCTGCACCTGGGGCCTACACCCCAGCTCTTGTATGCATAAGTAAATAAACATAAATCTTACTAACCTAGGCCCGAAAGACCCCCCAGTCCAGCCCGGGGGACTTGTCTCTCCAGCCCGGGGCAGTGGCTCACCACAGCCTGGTTTGGACCAGGGCTCGGGAACAAGCAATCCATTTCCTTTCAACCAAAACGGAATCCTGCCCCAGTGTCCAGATCCTGGACACTGGCGCTGTCAGTCACAGCAGGGCCAAGATAACTGGGGGACTGAGTTCTGGGGGCTGAACGTGATGAACGCCAGAAACATCAGCTGTGAGGGGCTGGCCTGCCGGGCTGGTTGCTTATGGCTGCCTTTGTCTAACCCGTGCTAAAAAGGCCAGCTCGAGGCGAGAGGGCAGGACGACTTCTTCAAGGTGCTAGGCCCACCTACTGCTCGCTCAGCGCAGCGGCCAGAAATCTGAAAAATAAAACGCTTACAGAGTCAACTCCTGTCTCTGCCCATTGGCTTTCTGGCAGTGACTGACAGCAGAATCCAGGCCCATCCAGTGCCTCCCCGGCTCAACCCCAAAGTCAGTGTTTCTGCCCACGAATTGAGGGCTATCAGCGATGCATATCCATGTCACACAAACTCCTATGCATCCGTCAAAGCCCTCAGAAACTTCACCAGCCCAGGGATTGGCTCCTCCCACCCCCTGGGCTGGGAAGTCTGGAGCAACCAGCACTCTGCTCTAGCCCCCTGCATCAGGCCTTTTCCCCCACCAGCACGAGCATCCTGAGGCCAGAGACCACCGTTCCCTCAACACCGATATTCGTGCCAAGCACACAGTGAGTGCCTGATGAAGTGGTGTGTTCTGGCGTTGTGGCCTTGGGCACATTCGGTCCTGTGTCCACCCGCTGAAAGCACAGCTGGACTGGGTCAAGGCTGGGGGCGGTGAGGACAGGATGTGAGTCCCAGGGCGTGAGGTCGGCGGGGCCTGTTCTCATGCTCCCTGGCGACGAGCGCTGGTCCCCCATCTGCCCAGCTGCCGGACACGAGGCCTCAGCGGGAGAGAGGTGGGGGGCGGGCGGCTGGGGGAAGCCCACAGTAACCAGCGAGAGCAGAAACAGCCACTCAGTGTTATTGTTACAGAACCATTAAATACAACTTATAAACAAGCCAGGGCGCTGTGGGGTGGGGGCGGGGGGGTCACGGGTGCAGAGGGTCAGGGTGGCGCACGGTCCTGGCCGGGGCCCAGGCTGCTGTCGGAGGCGCCGGGCTGGTGGTGGCCTGGCTGCTTGCGGAGGTCTCGAAGCTTCACCAGCAGCTCCCGGATGAAGTCCTGAGGATGGAAGTGGGGTATTGAGAATACAGGGAAGGTTGGGGTCCCTTATTTGGCCCTGCCCCCTGGACTTGGGCCCACCCTGCTCTGCTTCCCGGTGAGGGGGTGAGGGAGCGGAGGCAGAGTCATGGTAAGGGAGGGGTATCACTGAGAACTGAGGGGCGGAACAGGGAGAGGTCAAGGAGGAGGGGGAGACAGATAAGACCAGGAGAGACAGCAGAGAGGTTTCTCAGCCCCGAGCCCCAGGAGGGTCCCCAGGGACAGCCTGCGCAGGCTGGGGCAGACACCAGATGACGTCTGTCCTTCAGGCAGCCCAGAGCCGCTTAGAGAAACATGAATATTTTTCCCTTTTAAAGCAGGGGAGGAAGTGGGAGGGGCTGAAGGGCTCACTTCCAGGCCTGGAAGGATGGAGGGCCCCCCAGAGGTGGGGAGCAGTCGTGGGGACCGAGGAGGGAGGCCCAGAGCCAGGCAGAAACAGGAGACAGATGCAGGGAGTCTCTGGGGAAGGAGATAATGGAGGCCCCGTGGCAGATGGGGGGGACAGGAGACAGAGGGCACCGCTGGAGGTAGCAAAGGGCAGCCAGACACTGCGGGCTCCCCAGAGTCCCCCCACTGGCCCCAATCAAGGCTGGCCTCCTGCGGTCTCCTCCAGGGCCCCCTCCCTAGCAAGCGAGCGCCGGAGCCAGGGTAGCCAGCACGGCAGAGGAAACTCACCTCTGTGGGGTTCACGCAGGACTTCAGGAGTCCCTAAACACGCCCACCCCACGAGACAAAAAGAGTAATAAGCGACTAACTCCTAGTCCCCCGCAGCTGTCCCCTTTCCCACCCAAGCCCCAATCAACAAGACAGATGCAAGTCGGACCCCAGGGAGGGCTCCCCACATGGCTCCAGGGAAGAACACAGCCCAGGGCCTATGTAAGTGGGGGCAGGGTGATTCCGACACCGGGGACCAGCTCTGGAGCCCAGAGAGGGCAAGGAGGTCACACAGCATTTCCTGCCCCAGGAGAGCAGGGCCACAGAGCAGCTGCATAGCGGTGACTCCCAGCTCTGCTCTTCCTGAGTGTGACCTGGGCGACTGATGCGGTCACTCTGGGCCTCACTTTTCTCACCTGGGAAAGGGAGATCATCAGGGAGCCACCCTGAGAGGATGGGGAGACTTGAGAGTTAATAAGTGTCAGGCGATGGGAACAGTGCCCGGCACAGAGTAAGTGGTCACTAAACACGTTGACCGTTGACTGTGCCTATGACTTTTAGGGAGGTACAAAGCGAAATGGGGGTGGGGTGCCTTCCCTGCCACCTACCTTGACTTTCTGGCTCCGCTCCTCTTCACTCTCCAATTCCAACAATTCATCAATGTTGACCTCATCAGGCATGTCTGCCTCCTAAGGGGGTGGAGGGATGGTCAGGGGCCCCTTCCCCTCCATCCCTCGCCTTTGTCGGGGCTCTGGAGGAGCCCCATGGGCCCCAGGGTCCAGCTGGCAGATTCTGGAGCAATAATGTGGCAGTCAGGGCCAGCGCCGCCAAGGCGGGACATCTGGGCGTCGGGGGAGGGGCGACAGATGGGTTGACAGAGGCCCAGGGGGCCGGTACCAGCCAGAGGCCTGGGTCCTGGCACGGCCCCTCCCCTCAGCCTCAGTGCCCACACTAGAAAACAGGCCTGGTCTGGTCTTGGAATACCAGACTCTGGGATTTAGGAGAGGGGCTGGCTCTGCCCTTTCAAGGAGGTGTCAAAGCTCTGGCACAGGGGAAGGGAGCAGCAGGCCAGGGCTTGCTGGGGTAGCCCCAGGCCCGGGGACAGCAGGGGCAGGCCCAAAGCCACCCACTGCGCTGGGGGAGGTGACCACCAAGGTTGCCCCAAGAGGGGCGGGTGCCCAACTTGGAGCTGCCAGGCGGGGCGGCCTCCAGGGCCCAGGGCAGCGCAGGCTGCTCTGTATTCCAGCCGACAGAACCCAGCTGCTGGGGTGAGATCCCCAGGCCACAGCCTTCCCGCCCCCACCCGAAGTGTGGCAACCCGGCCGGGGCTGAGTGGTGGACGAGGCCAGGGTGGCCTGGTGTGTCCGTAAGTGCATCACACACCAGTGTGTCTCTGGGTGGGGGGCCAGGCGCACGGGGGTGGGGGGGTCACGGGGGTCTCACACACAGGGGCTGGTGTCCTGGGGGCAAGGCCCTGGCTCAGGTGTTTGTCTCCCCAGCAGGGGATACAGGGGCCTGCTGAGCAGTGCCCCCCCCCAGGTTCCTGGTGCTTGACCAGATCCCCCCCACCCCCCGCCTCCACACCACCCAGACCTCCAGTATCCCAGGGAGCCTCCAAGAACCTTGACTCTCTTGTCCCCCTCCCATGGTACCCCAGTCCCGTGATACCACCTGGCAGAGGTCTCACCCACCGGTGAAGGAATAGCAGGGAGTAAGAGCAGGGGATCCTCTCAGAACTGAAGCCCCCCAGCCCCCCAGCCCCGCTCATCTGTTAGGTCCCTAGGGAAGAGCTGGCTCTGAAGCCCAGACTGGCCTCCAACCCATTTGGCTTTGTGTCCTGTCCCTGTCTGTCTGGGTCACTCCTACTTCTTGTTCCATTCCTGGGGAGTTCATCACTGCGCCTCCCCAGTGTCTCCCATACATTATCCATAAATTCATCTTTTCTTAAAAAAAAAAAAGTCGGTGCAAGTGTCACGGCAACTGTGGGGCCCACACACAGCCACCCACGTGCCCACACAGAACAGAGGGGTCCCCTGGCCGCGAGGGGCCTGGCTTCCACAGTAACCCCGCAGTGCGGGATCTGGGTGTCGGGCTGTGCACTGCTGCGACCTTCAGCATCGGTGACCGCGTGTGGGGCAGAGAGCGACTTGCCCTGGAGACACGGGGAGACGCCACCCGCCCGTGTCTGGCCTGGGGGTCAGCATCGGGGGCTGCGGCCAGTGTGCCTGCCCTTCCTGGCGGGTGGGGGGAGCTGTCATGCCGGCTGTTGGCCTGAAGCGTCACCAATACCTGTGGTCAGCTCTTGCCGCTAGGAGACAATGGCCGTGGTGGGCTCTGGTCCGCGTGGGGGCCTGTGAGTGGCTCGTGCTGGGACCAAGCGTATCCAGGCCAGGCTATGACTGGAGTGCCCTGGTGCGTGTGGACTTGGGTGTGTGCCTGTGGCTGTGGCCTGTGCCATCGTGGCTGTGGCCGTAGCATATGTTGTGTGATCTTCGCCACCACGAGGCGTGTGGGTGAGGGGCTGTGCTGGCCCTGCCCTTCTGGGAAGCCGGCTGCCCCCCGCTGTGTCTGCGGGAAGCTGTCCTATCACCATGTCTATGTTTGGCTTTCAGGCACTCCCCTCCCCCCACCCTTCCTCCAGATATGGCCACAGGGCTCCCCAGCTTTGCCTCCTCACCCCACCCCCATGCTAAGCCCTGCTCCTCCTGGGGGTTTGCGCACATCTGGGAGACCCAGGAGTGCACCTCTGTGCCGCGAGCAGAGCGCCATCGGGTTCCCCACCGCGCCTGCCCCCGGGCGTGCGTGCACGCCCCGGGCGAAGGAGGCTGAGAGTGCACCCGCGAGCCCAGCCAGCCGCCAGAGCCCACGGGGTAGGGGCTCCCCGGCGCCCCGGCCCGCCTCCCGCTCACCCTGCCGCGGTACAGCTCCTCCAAGCGCCCGTCGATCCACTTCTCCACGTCCAGCCGCCGCTGCAGCTCCCGCCGGTCATACTTGACGGTGACACGCGCGTGCCGTTTCTGCAGCCCCCCGGAGCTGCCCCCGCCCCCCGCGCCGCGGGCCCGCG